CCAGAGTGCGAACAGTGAGTTGTGTGGGCGCAGAGCCGCCATAGCCAGTTGAAGAGAACTCTTATCCGGTTACGATATCTTTGAGTACTGTGTGGGCGCATGTCGCCAGTTTGCTGTATCGCTGTTTGCACGCAAGACAAGTGTGAATAATCCGAGTTTGATTGCATTTGGTGTTTTGTTTTGCAAGTTTGCTGCCAGTCAGATTCGAACCTGGGACCTCCAAGTAAGCATGCTGTTAGGTGCTCTTGGGCACATAGGACCCTGTAAGACCTAGGTATATCCACTTCTGCATTGGCAGATGCTCTCTTAATCTCTCCCTCGTTCCGCCAAGCTGTGTTTAGTCTCCTGCATTCCGTCCTTCGGCAATTTTGTTAATTTGCTCTCGAAGTATTTTAATTATAATCAGACACAAGTCACACAAGTGAACTTAGCATGAAAGTGGAAGCAGCAGCCGAGTCTTGACACTCAATGAATGGTATCGACTTGAAATGCAGCGGCGGCGGTAACCGCAGCATCAGCGGCAGGAAAGGACAGTGGAGGAGTGAAATTGCAGAATCAGAGCCAAGGAAACAACGAGGAAGGAGGAGAAACGGAGGCAGAGGTGGATGGGAGGGCTCAGACAGATGGGACGATGATGGATTGCTCCAAGCACGTGGCAGCAATCACGCTGGGAAGCTGTGCTATGGCAGCAGTGGACAACCCGCTGTCTGCCCAGAGATCGACCGTCATACTGGCGTTGTCTCACGCACAAGGGACAGCAGGATCTGCCACGCCTACGGTTGCACCAGGAGCAGGAGCTGCGCTTGTTGCATTTTCACCTCCCGTACCTGGTTCTATGTACACAGAGAGAAAGCCCAAGCATATTGAAAAGATTTTTGAAGCGACTGTGAGTGATGTGTTTCACTTTGGCTATTGCATATCTGCCAACATAGATGGGCAACCGATGAAGGGGATGCTGTTCAGCTACAAGCCAGGTTTTGCACAAAGCGTGCAGGCCCTCATGTTTCGGTACGTGCCACAAGATAACTGGATCTCCCATCTTCTTGCTGTGACTCTCCTGTGACATCACACGAGTTGCATCGGAGCACTGCCTCTAATGCGTCTTCCCAAATCTTTTGTTGAGTTGCGTGCTTTCTCTTGTGAGCTTCTTGTGTGCTCCAATGTGATGCCGCACCCTTCGTTCCTTTCAAATTTCCCACAGCGTCACTCTCCCCTGATCAGGCCGTACCACAGACATTCAGACTCATCTGGTCTGGAGGCGGCCCAACTGCATGGCAACCTCCTTGAACAGCTTTCTTGTGTCATATGATCATCCCTTTTTTCAGTTGGTACGGAAAGGTAGGTGATTCGGAGTGGTATTGTATCATCCGCAAAGCAGTCGGTTTAGCTGTCTTGCAAGCAGTAGCTCCTGGAGAATTGAGTCATCTCTCTCTCTCTCTCTCTCTCTCTCTCTCTCTCTCTCTCTCTCTCTCTCTCTCTCTCTCTCTCTCTCTCTCTGTGTGTGTGTGTGTGTGCGCCTGCAGCTGTCGTATAATTATGTTTGTGTTCATCTTCCATTTGACCGGTCTGAACAGGCTGACGGAGTTATTGGAGAATAATGCTGTCAGAAGTCCCAGGGAGTATTACCCCATGGCTGCTGGAGAACATGACACAGTATGGCAGAAGGCACGTTTTGAAAATGGCGTAGTATGGAAGAGGGCATGGCATCAAATTGCACATGTTGCTCTCTCTCCTTTTCAGTTTCTTTTTGTTCAAACCTTCTGCCACCGATGAATATCATTTGCAAAAGTCCCTGCAGCCCGAAGGAATTTGGCACGGTGGCTCGGATTCCAGTCAATAAATGGGTCAAAAACTTGGGACATGGGCATAACTTTTCACTCCGGTGAAACAAGTCGCAAGAGGGGATTTTTGGATACATATGCAACAGACGAGGGGACGCAAAGGGGCTCCTCCATAATGACCACCGTGAATGAACCCATCAGTCTTCATAAATGAGATGTGCAGAGACAACTGTTTTGTGGTTGGTTGTTCATTTGTTAGACTTTGAAAGATGTTTGCCCTCACTTTCACTTTATTTTTTGCAGTGATGATTGCGTTTGTGTTTTCATGTGCTTTCACTTCGATTTTGCAAAGAAGGTGGTCATTTGACCCTTACATGAACCCTGAATTTTGTGATTGGTACCAGGCTACCAGCCCTTTCAGTGTGGAGGCATGCTGGCTAACAAATCCAGTCTTAGCTGTACGGATATGCTACTGGACTTCCCTGGCTGGACATGAACAGGGAGGGAACCTGGTGAAGGCAGGTCGTGCACCACCTGCCGAGTGACAGGGGTTCAGACGGGGGATAAATTGAAAGATCCCTACACTTGTAGAAATCGCTAACGTGAGAATTGGGCGATCCGGGCCGCCTGCAGTCCTACCGACCGACGGTCCGGATTTCCGAGTGATCTTAAGACTTCCCTATCCCTATACTCTTAAAGAATGCAAAGGGCCCAGCGTGACGCTTCCTGCTGGGCCCAGCGAAATTCGGTGTGGAGGTGAGTGGGACTGGGGCAAGGTAAATCGGCCGCGGCGTTTCGTGGCGGGACAGCGGGCGGGAGTGAGGGAAATTTGGTGTGGCGGTTCCATGCGACACGCCCCATTCTGCAGTGTCAGGAGGACACAAAGTCCCGTTCCCTGCTGCCACGGTGTTTCTTTCAACCCCCCCATTCAGTTCTGTTTCCCGCCAGTCCATGGTGCCGGGCGGGGGCCGCGTCGATATGGAAAAGGGCGGCGATGGAAAGATGTGATGGAGGGAGGATCAACGCAGGAGGAGGGAGGAGGAAGAGGGAGAAAGACATTTGGGGCATGTGGCACGTGTGCGCTCAGAGCAGAAAGGGTGTGAGAAAGAGGGAGGATGAAGAGGGAGAAGCATGTTTGGGCCGATCGAAACAAAGGAGGCAGCATGAGGAGCAGGGAGGACGAGGAGGAACAACGAAAAAGAGGAGGAGCGAGGGGACAATGAGAATGGAGGAAAGAGGAGGAGGATGGAACAAAAGGAGAAAGAGGGACGAAAAGGAGGAGGACGATAAGCATGGCAGACGACGAGAATTCATGGAGGAGGGGGGAGGATGTAGGGAGGAGGTTGCCAGGGGGAGGAGGAGGTCGGAACAAGGGGGATGAGGAGGTCGCACAAGGAGGAGATTGTGCGAGGGGGAAGCGGACGTCGCGACAAGGAGGAGGAGGTCGGAAGAGAGGTGGGAGGAGGTCATGCGAGGGGGAAGCAGACATCGCGACAAGGAGGAGGAGGAGGTCGTGCGAGGGGGATGAGGAGGTGGGTGGAGGACGC